ATCGGTCCCAGAGCGGACACGTTGTTTGCCCCCACTAGCATGGAAAGGTCAGCTGGCATCTGGTCAACGGGGTCAACCCGGCCCGGGGAGGCCATGTCGCAGTACAGAGCAACACGTAAATCTCTCCGCAACCATCTTGTCTAGCAAAAGGGCGGAGACAAAATCCTCCCTTGAGCTGGCGCCAAGACTCGGGTAGTGTGTTCAGGGTAAACGCAACAGTCTGTGTCTAGCAAGCACCCTGAACCTAAATCCACCGATGTAAACCAATGAGGATATTTTCAAGCGCGTCACTCACGCGGAAAACTGGAGTTCTTTTTCTCTCCTTCGGCTTTCACTGTATGTGAGCCGCCAGCTAATGTTTATTTGGTGCGCCCAACTGCTTAATTTTTTGTAGCGAGACGACGCGTGAGGAGAGGTGGGGGCACGCGAGCAGAGGTAACCCGGTCACGTAACCCTTAACGGTTTGAGTATGGTCGGGATGATGTGCTGCGGTTATGGCCCGTTCAACGACATGACCACATTGCGTGAATTTCACCCGCCTACTTTCCTTGGCGACACGTCTTGGCGACACGTCACTCGTCATCCACTTACGTCGGAAACTTCATGAAGTGAACTAGCTAGCTACTTTACAAGCGCACAATGTTTAATGCCGCATGCTAGTTTAACTAGTGAACTAGCTTCATGAAGTTTTAACTAGAGCGGCGCAGCAACACAATAACAAAAACAACTTAAGCTGCAGCTGCTCAGTTTGACCATGGACCTCATGATATCCGAAGGTCCGGGCTGTCAAGCGGAATGATAGACTCAGAATCCGTCGTGTTCAGTCGTGCCGGGTCTTTGCGGGTGACAAAGCGGGTCTCATGCTCTGCCACTTCCGTCTATTGATTTGCTCGTGCTGTATTCAATGGATGGCTGTTGCTTGTCGCCAAGGGGGTCCTTTGGCGGCGTTTCCGGAATTCTAAATGTGTAGCCTGTCATCCACGCTGTGCTATTATCAGCCATTGGGTACCCCAACATCGCCGGGGGAGAGGGGAGGGTCTGAGAACTGGATAAGTACATTCTATGTGATTATTTTGTCTAAAAATAGCGGAAACAGGATTTCGGCTCCGGGTCCTTCCCGAATCTTCCTTCCTCGAGGCTTGAGGAAAACATAGCGCGATGGCTTGTCTCCGCTGTTTTTAGTAAAAGTTTGGTATCACAACACTGGTTTCTCATTGCCGCGACTTAGTACTTTGTTTAATGATGAGTCTCAAACCAGCATTTTGCTACGCAACTATTCAAGGCATACAGACACACACACACACCACACACACACACACACACACACACACACACAACACACCACACACACACACACACACACACACACACACACACACACACACACACACACACACACACACACACACACACACCACACACACACACACCCACACACACACATATATATATATATATATATATATACACACACATATATATATATATATATATATATATATATATATATATATACCATCGATGCGTGGCACGCCTTGGCTACGGGCATTTCTAATTTCACATGGCCCATGTACCTGAGCTGCAACCTGCAAGCAAACGCGCCCGTGCACGTGCTGAGAGGGCACACAGCAATGGTGCCCAAAAGGTTTGCAACGTTCCAGCCGTCAAAGAAAATCGATATTACATGGACAATCATTGGTAAACAATTCTACCTCATGCAGGTGTCCCAGGTAACATACAACGCACGCAAACGTCGTCTACTAGAGGGATTTAAGCGCGGCAGGGGGCATGTCTGATAAACTGAACATTCGGGGTGTTACGATGGAGGATCGTGCAATTCAGCCGTATATTTAAAAATAGATAAAGGAAATTCATGCAGATCACTGTATAGTGAGATGCTTGCAACACCTTGCGCAATGCATCAGAGAGTGCAATGAAGCTTACCTTTACACCCTTGTTGTTCCCGTTGGAAGATCTACTTTTAACTGAAAGCGATAACGAAATAAAATACTACAAATCTTTATAAAACTAAGACTCTCGCGTTATTAAAATATGTTGTCCGTCGTTGCCCCAGTCCGGGAAGCCCAAGTCTCTCTCAACCACTCAGCAATAACGGAATGTTCCGAAGCTGCAAGTCACTCGCCAACGACGCAACACTCTTCGCCGGGAGCCAGTGACTGCGCTTCCTGACGCACGCAGTTCTGGCACGTGGTTCAAATGTCAACGCTAGATGTCACTAGGCAGCATCCGTCGCCCCAGCGCAGCGAGGTTTTGTTTGAAGGTGTATTCTTGAGTTTAAAGCCCAGGGAGCACATGATACGTTTCCATCGGGGTCGGGTACATAACTCAAAACTCCTGTCTGCTTCTGGTCCAGCCTGAAAAAGAAGGAGTCGGCATCAGGCGTCATTTTGTCATTTCAACTGAATCGAATGTGTTGCACGATTTTTGGGGGGAGGGCCATGCAAGACAGCTCACCGCAACGACCTTGAGCACATCAGTCATCGGTCTAGGTGGAGCAATTCCATTCATCGGACAAGATGCCGGAAAAGCGCATTGTAATGACATCCGCACAACGCACCCCCCTCCCCTACACCCCCCCCCCCCCCTTGTCCTCATCGCCACTCTAATCACCTTGGCCAGTTGACCAGCTGGCTTGGTCCTAGCAACTTCCAAAGCGCGCCTGCAGGCATAAAATCAATGGCAACGAAACCAACCCTGGTAATGGACGACGGGATTCGCGCATGGACGGCTGAGCAGGTTCAGGTTTTGGAAGGCCAGCATCAGTTGAATTTGTGCCTGGTGCCTACAGCGAAATAGCTGCGAACAACCAGCGGGATAATCGACGCTTTTCCCCCGGTAAACCACCCTGTTATCTAAGGGCATCTTACGTGTTTTGGTTTAGGTCGCACGCTGTCTTTTGCAGCCGACTGCATGCGGCTTCCAAGGATCTCGATGAAGGGTGTAATTCCTCAAGCAGGTAGGTGAGGTCAGCGCCCAGCCCTATTTATTCTCGCCCCCCCCCCCCCCCCTCCAGCCAACTTAACAGCCGCTGGGCGTGTTACTCAACTTTGGATTGTCACCACACCGGTCGTGCACATTCAGATAGGGGACGGAGATCAGGTTTGGCATCTACACTCAGCCACACGCACAGAAGTGCACAAGTCCAGGGCCACCACGCCGAGCCTCTGCTCGTTTAGCAAAATCAAGCTCCTCATCGCGTTGAATTTAAAAACGCCTCCTCCGACCTCGTTTACATGGTGCCTCGCGACTTGGCGTTTCTCATGTTTCGAGGTCATGTGTTATCGGCCGAGTCACCACGTGACTGGATCTGCACCTTCCGTGTGCGTCCCATCCCCTGGGTCTCACCTCTCGACATCTTCAGGCCTTACCTGCTGAGCTCCTCAGCTCTGACCTCATGCCTGCCTCAGGTCTGACCTCCTGACCTCCTCAGATCTCACTTACTGAACTCAGGTCTCATCTTCTGAACTTCTCACGTCTCACACCCTCACCTCAGGTCTCACCTACTAACCTACTAACCTCCTCACCTATCATCTAATCTTCTCGGGTCTCATCCCCGGACGTCCTCAGGTCCGATCTCCTCGGCCGACGTCAGCAGCAGTCCGAGGCGCCGACCGTGGCCGCGAAAAAAACCACTCCGACTTGAATATTCCGGCCACAGTTCCCCCAGCCCATTCTTCAGCCGGTGCTAGACCGTTCTCCAAGGCGACCGTTGTCGCCAGGAGTTCTCAACTCTTGGCGACACAAGTAATGACTCGAATTTCTGCCTTTCATGAAGAAACAGCAGCAGGAGGCGAGTGCCACAGCCGACACGACTCAAACCCTGAATATCCTCCTCTACACCATAACCGCACTTTGCGGCTATTCAGAGCTCGATGCCAAGCATAGAAGCTCTTTGAGTGACCTTTTATCGCGACTGGAACTGCCGCTAGCGTGCAAACTCGGACCAGAATACGTGCCTTTTAAAGCAGCATTCTTTCAGCTGCGCCCGCCCGCCCATTGCCATCAATTCTCCAAGTCGAAGCCGCCTTGGAACCCGGGTATTGATCTTCTTCCGTGAGTGGGTGGTGCCCACCACCCCCTACCATCCGGCGCCCAATGACGTCACTACGAATTGGAAGACACTACAATGACGTCAGACTTGTCAACTGGTCGGCGATTGTGACGTCAGTGATGCACGGCGGATGGGCGATTGGCGGGGGAGGCAGTTGGCGTGTGGGTTGGCGAAATTGACGGAACTTTCCGTCGTGTTTTACGGAATGTTTGAGATGAGGCATTAGGGCGACAGGCGGGATAATTGTTCGGGATGCAATCCTGACCTGACATCTCTCCACATTTTCTAAACACTAACCTGCCAATATATCACCAAGTATTATCATTGTGATTATTATTATTTTTTGTTTTGTTATTTTTCATTATTTATTATATAGTTTTTTGTTTTTTTGATATTATATATATGTATATATGTGTATATATATGCAGATATATGTGTATATATATATACATATATATATATATATGTATATGTATATATATATATGTATATATATATATATATATATATATATATATATATATATATATATATATATATATATTATTGGGCTGAATACATCACTGCTATTATTGGAGGCGCACTGCATGCACTTCGTGAAAAGCAGATACCTTTCACTGGGCACGTTTATGTTACACATTGTACCGCGCTCTTGTGTGTGTGGAGCTCGGGAGAGGCCGGCATGGGGGTGAGGATACATTCAGGTGGTACTGGTACGTCGGAAACGCCAATGTACCCACTTAGGTCATGAAATAATGAGAATATGTGCTGATAACACACATCACGGCGTGTTGGTTCTCAGCACAACAGTCCGGCGAAAGCTGCAAAATTGCGCACAATTAGCCATAGTTTCCATGTATTTTGGGAGCTCGAACCGCGTCTTCATTAATGTATTTGGGGAGCTCTATAAGCGTCATCAGAGTAATTGGACTTGTATTCCACTTGATGCAAACCACCAATGATGAAATAACACACATACGGGGCAAGCAAATGTCCCCGACGCATGTCAAACCACGTTACAAAACATGTCGCATGTCAAAACACACGCTACAAAGCTGGTGGCGTGCTCCGGCGTTGATTCGCCACCACCCCGACCGCCACCCGCGCGCCACGATCGCCGCTGCCGCGTCACAGCTCGCCGCCCCGCGCTGCCCCACTTCTGCGCCATCGATTGCCGCGGGCATACCGGCAATGACCCACTTGCTACCCTCCCCTAGCATGTCGCCAAATAGCCGTGGGACCGCACAGACGCCCCCCTCCCCCCCCCCCCCCCCCCCCCCCGAATGGTTCGCTGGGGACCCCGCTCACCGCAGGGCAAACAGCACGTGCGCTGCCGCCGACGCGCGCGCGTGATTCCTTCGTTTGTCGAGTTCTTTCAAGGGAATGCACCCACCTAGACCGGTCCCCAACTTCGTGGATTCTTCAGCAGGCGGTACATTCTGATCCTGAAATGTAGTTCTTCAACCCTATTACAGAGCGATCACGACAAATCTCGACTCTCGAAAATCTCGTATCTTCGGATCTCTGCATGTTTCATATCTTGCAAATCTCTGTGCTTTACTTTCCAGGGTAGGGCTATGGGCTGAACTGTAATCATGAAAGTACCACATCACTGCCTGGTTGCCGCCCTCCATTAGGGCAGTACTAGCATCAAAACTATATGGAAATTTACGTGCAAAAAAGGAATATAAAAATACAACTTTTAGCCAAGCAGAACAGTGCGCAACAACTTAAATGTTATTGTACGATGCACTAATGACTTCACTATCGTATTGGAATGAAATAAAATAAGCCACAAAGTGCAATAGGAAGATGATAGATACTACTAACAAGAAACAACAAACCGCATATCTAATTCGAATTTGAGACCCAAGTCAAGGGTGTACCACACAATATTAATAAGGGTGCACGGTCGCAGAAAGGGTCTGTTATCGACAAACGCAACAACTTGTCAAGCACTCAACTCCAAACCATTTGTTGTGGGTCACTTATAATGTTCTGGTCGATCATGATTGCCAAAGTAGGATGTGTTCTCAGTGCGTGTGCCTGACTGGACAACGATGTGACACGAGTGCAGTTGCGCAGGAATGTGTTGACGAATGCGAGAAAGAAAAGGGCTAGTCGAATGCGTCACAGGGCCGTCCTGCACGATTTGAGTCTTGCGCGACTCACTGAAAATGCTGCATATCGGTGAAGGAACTTGTGAAGCATTATGGGGCCCGCGGGTGTCGCATACTCGTTGTTTTGTCATCTCGCATTGTATGTGTGCTTTGTCATCTCTCCCGAAGATTGGTGGTCTGAGCCTTTGGCTACATAGCTCGTCAGTTCATATCAAGATAGCCTTTTGGGAATCTGATCACCTCCGAGCCGGAAGCACCAATATTTGCATCCAGCGAAAATTGGTATTCAACGATCGTCAATTCTTGTTTCAAGTGCATTTGGGGCATACAGCCCTCTCCCTACGATGTTAAATTATCGTGGCTTTGTTTCACAAGCCACCATGGTGCAGACATGGGAATACCTGCACCAAGGTGATTTTGTAGCTGCCACTAACAATAACAGAGATAATGTTTTCAAATTGCGAGCTCTTACTACAAACTCGATTGCACAGCATCCGACAACAGTTGAGCTCCAAATTGCGTCCTGCAACGGCCCCAGGAGACGTTTTTTTAGGATACGCGGCAGGACAAGTCACGGGTTGTTTGAAGAGAATGTGTCCAACGTGTTTCTTCGGCTATAGGCGTCGGCGTTTGAATGAAGGGAGTTAAGATAGAGCTTATCTAAAACAAGCTGAAAACGGTGTTTACTCGTGAGTAAAGCATGGCAAATATTGAGTACTAGGGTTGGATCAAGGAGCAATGGGAGCAGGTGCTTGGCTTCTCTCCACTCCCCACATAACTCAGCCTAAAGCTAGGGCCTCCTCTAAGGAGTTTGCACTGGGCGGGACGATAGTTTCTTGCCCATGCGTAACAGGACAAATCTGACGTAACACACAAGAGCACGTGAATATTTCGTTGAATGCGCTTTGGGCGGGGAGATTTGCCAATCCAATGTAAGGATTTTGCGTCGCATTTATTCAACATGTATTGGGAGGACCCGGGCTAAACGACTTAATAAAACAATGCGATCTTACTAGTAAGGTCGGGTATGTCGGAGACTACCAGCAATACAATTCGCATAGGTAGCAAACACTATTTGTAAACATAGCGAAATCGCAAGTGAAGATGAGACACCGGGCAATTAGAATGGTAGAACTGCAATTGGTATTCTAAGCTGGAAAGCAATATGGTTAAGATCTTGTGCTTTCCTGCCATTGCCATGATGTACATCGATCATAATAATACGCGTGATGCGTACATAGGTTTCAGGCAATGTAAATGATGGCAAGAGGTTGAAGGCCACGTGAATAAGTGTGATGTCCGTACCCGTACTCGCAATACGCGCGATGCTTTTTTACATTTACGATTTCAACATGTGTAAGGACGTTTGTTCTATAGCTAAGGACACAAACATGCGTAGTGAATTGCATTTTCCATGGTTATTTTGGTCTGTAGCTGTGCGCGTATGTTCATATGTAAGGCCTGTCAGTGAAGTATAGAAAATCGTCGCCCACGCACGCAATCTGGTAATCTCTCAGACCATTGAATTGTCTAATGGTTTTGAGAGGAGAAGACCTTCTGATCAGCCTTGCCAGACATCCAGTTTCAATTTTTTTTACACTTTCAAAGGGAGTTGTCATTTACGGCAAAGGCAATTTTGGGTGAAATCTTGACGTTTATGCCGAATTAGTTCAAATAACCATCTGCCGAGCACAAATGTACAGCAAGTGTCTGTATGACGTAATGACCATTCAAGTTCAAGATCACGTGAGATAAAGTCCTGAAATAACTCAGGGCAGTCTATGTTGGCGTAAGGTGGCCGCGAAAGAATGCGAGGGATTAGTGATGGGCCTGTCTATTACGCTAATACTATTGTCACGCACCAGTATTTTTAGCGCGAGATTATCCGCAGTCAATATTGTCGCAGGTCTTGGGAAGCATTCAGACACCGATGGAGTTAACGTATTTGTGAAATGACTTCCCCGTCTCCCCCTCCCCCCTACTCTTTGTTTAGCTTCCTGAATATCATCCATCGCTATCCCCCTGAGCGTGTTACAGGAAGTCCCCACAGTATATAAGGGACGCCGACACAAAAACATAACTTTTGCAATAAATTTGAATACTTGGCTGCCATAAAGCATTCTGGGGCTCCTCAGATGACTTGAGACATTCTTGCATCACTACTTTGAAGTTAACGGTGGTATGCACTGACAAGAACTAGCTTCATTCCGTAAGTCATATTCAAAGCCTCGCGATACGGCAGAAACAAGAGTTGACCCCGTTTGTCTTTCACTGACAGCACAGCAGGCCGCCTGAAAAAGGCAGCTGAAAATTATCTAACTTGAAAGCAAAGACCACCTGCCGGCTGCTTTCGCTCTGAGACATTGGGTGCCGCATTGGCAGAAGATGCCTTATTGGTTCTGACCCCACAACAGAAGGTGGCTAGACCATCCAAAGTTAGCAGAGGTTGGATGGAAGGGAAGGGGGCGAGATGGGGTGGGGGGGGGGGGTTATAGACTCGGAAGTTTCCAGCAAGATGGTAATACACCTGTCCACGACTGTCCCCCCCCCCCTACCTTCCCATCCATAAATATATAATGTTCGGAACTATTTCATGTTCCACCCTATGCCTACCCCTTTGAATACGACGTTGGTGCAACGCAGCACCTTCCACACTTTCTTCTGCACTTGCCTTTCGCCGGGAGGGTCGGGGAAACTTGGAACTTGCACAAATTGGAGAAGAATGTCTGCCAGCGGAACCTGCTTTGCAATCCTATGTGAAACAATCGGCATGCTACGCTCAGAGCAGCTCAAAATGAATTGACTTACAAAACAGTTCGACATTACATGAAACGAACCATAGATTCTTCACACGGATGTCCACCTCCACTTCCGAAGTGGTGGGGCACACAAAAAGCTTTCTGTGCCGACAGAGCGTTCCATTTTACCGCGTCTTCCGAAGGGCCACGTGTCAGATCGCCAGACACGCCTATGTCGGGTCGACAAGGTGACATGGGGCGTGGGCGAAGTGGCAATGGACGTGGCACGGGCATGGGACCTGGTAGCCAACCATCAACACTACCGCAGGTTTACACACGCCGAAAAAGAGACGGCTCGTCGTCATGGGATACCCAGCCGAGTGACGTCCGCCGCTTCCTCTGAACACCTTGCAGCATTTTTCGCGACGCTGTTGCATAGCGAACAATGGCATCTACTTGCGGAAAGCCCACGAGGTCGTAGCGTGCTGGGCGAGGCGAGGTCATAGAGAGGTCATAGCGTGACCTGATGTCGATTCTGCGCACGGCTACCCTGCGCAGCGCATGGCGGTCCCCACCTGGCGAGGACCTCGAAGGCCACCACAGCAAGGATTCCTGAGACGCCTGAGCGGCCTCGGCGCGGCTCGTCTCCACCGGGGCGTCTGCGGACTGCTCGAGTTAGGCCCGAATCAGGCTCGAGTCAGGCCCGAGTCAAGCTCGAGTCAGGCGCGACCGCGTGATGACTCACCTCCGTCGGGGCGCGGGTGTCGGTGGCTGTCGAGTCGGCGGTCGTCCCTTCGACCCGACGTCGGCTTCGGTCGAAGCCGGCTGACGTCATGCCGCGGCCGAACGCTATTGATCGGCACGGCGGGCGCTGGCGGATCGGCGGCCGCTGATTGGTCGGGGTGGGCGGGGCCTTGCCGGAGGCTCGGCGAGCGCGCGGACGTCAGGGGTCGCGGGGTCAGCGGTGAGCAGGACGGCATTCATTAGCGCTGGCATCAATCGCCGCCGACTGCGGTCAGCCAGACACCTGGAAGACGCGACGAGTGCGCATCTCCGGAGGTGGGGGATCGCCCGGCGGTTGGGCGCGAGCCAGGGAGGCCAAGGTTACTTGAAGGTCGCGCAGCTGAGGGGCGGCGCTGATTCCGACAATGCTTTATAGATGGCGTCCGGTGGGACCACTTCATCCAAATTCAAGACAGCGAGGGCTTGCAAAATTGGTGCAGTGGAACGCTCGCGCCGTTACAGCTTGCTTGATATCAAGTAGATGGTTCTTCGAAGCGTTCGAAGACAATTGTTCAACAAACGCGCAGCAGAAGACTGGCATCATGCATATCAGCACATCTCTCACTGAAATAATTACCCTCCTGAGAGTTCAAAAGACCAGGCCGAAGCATATTCATCCGGCCTTCTTTCCTCGCTCAGTGTTCCATCCTGAGTCCAAACAGCAGACCCTGACGCTTCCTTAAACCCAGTCCCTCCGCCACGAGCTGCGGGCCGTTAGCCTTAAGCTGGTGAAAGCGCCTCGATATAGGAAGCTCAGCCTAAGTCCCGCATTGCCCCACAGAAGGATCCCTGTGCGGACCAAGTCTCGAAGCCAGTGGCTCCATGATGGCAAGTCTTGCCCCATCACTTACCCATCTCCTTCGTTCCCAAGTCGTGACATAGTCATTGCTGGCCGACAGGACTCCATTCGTCCTCTGTCCTCACTCGTCGCTTCATGATACCGCCTGCAGCGTGACATCTCGGAGAGTGAGCTGCGACCTTCAGCCACGAGTTGAACCGAGGGTTTCACTGACGGCGGTCCCACCAAGACGCCCGCTGTAGCCGAAAAGACTCTTTTCGTTACCTGTACCCCGAGCAGGGATACATGTCATGAAAAGAGGTTTCTTGCTATGGTCCGACATCTTACTATCCCGACATTGCCCCTACACTCTCCCCTCTTTTTCATTTAATGGCTTTGGAATGGCTGATGCAGGCAGCCAGGACTACACGTAAGGTCACAAGTGGCGTCATCTGGTGCACTGGTTCGGTGGGCAGACCGTGGTGCCAGGTCCGAAACAAACGGTGCCACGTGGCGCTGCTACAGCAGGGAGGGTACTGAGTGTTCTCCTCGATCAACAACTCACAAGGGAGGCCCACATCGTCGCGGTCGTTCGACGTTGCAACACCACCATACGTGATGCGTAATACGGCACGTGATGCGTGCCGCCAGCCGGACATGTGCAGACCCACGTAACCAAGGATACAGGTCGAACGTTGGCCGTGATTGGTCGGGTGATAGCCCAGGCCTCTGCATTGTGCGTGCTTTCGCGGTCTGCAGCCGTGTGCGGTCAACCACGTGACCCGCGGGCCGGAACGATGTGGTGCCGAATGATGTGAAATGGTACGTGTGAGCTGGAATGATGTGGTCCGGCCTCAAGACAGTTCCGGAGCTATTTGCACGGTCGCAGGCAGATGGTGGGCGACCCCGAGCCGTTGCTGCCGTCACACGGTGTGGCTCGGGGATCTCCGGTCAGGCCCACTATTATCAACGACCTCTCCAGCTTCCTGCCTCACGGCCGCCTTCTACCCTTCGCCGATGACACCCAGCTCCTCGACAGTTCAACACCCGACGTCATCGGCCTGTCCCACCTGGAATCCCGCGTCGAGGAGTCCATGCAGTGCCTCCAAGATTGGTTTCGATCAAACAGTCTTAAAATGAGCCCCGAGAAGACCGACTTTACTCTGATCGGTACAAAGTCTTGAGTTCAAAAGACCGGCAACTTCCACATCAACATTTCTCGCTCACCTTTTCACCCCTCAACAGCAGGGAGGGTACTGAGTATTCTCCTCTATCAACACCTGACAAGGGAGGCCCACATCGCCGCGGTCGTTCGACGTTGCAGCACCACCACACTCGTATCGTTGTCCAAGGTTTGGTACCACCCCACCCCTGATGTTTTGACGCTTCTCGTTCGTGCGCACGCCCTCCCCCACATACATTCCTGTTTGTCCGTATTGGGAGACACTGCCGCCTGCCATTTAGGCCGGGTCCAAAAGGTAATCCACTTTGCCGCAAGACTGGTGACCGGCATCCGCTGCCGCGACCCCATTACGCCTGCATTAGAAATGCTGGGATGGTGCAGCGTGGCGGAGATGGTGCGCCGACGTGACTGTGTCAATGTGTGCCGTGCATTGCATGTCAGCGGAGTGCCCGCCGCTCTGCGCTCGTTTCTCTATAGGCGAGCAGAGGCCTCCCAGCGCCATACCCGAGCCGCGGCCCGTGGTAAAGGTTCACTGCGCCTTGAACGTGTCAGACGGACACTAAGCGGCGGTTCCTGTACCGGGCGGGAACTGCTTTCCCCTGGCGGCCGTCCACGCTTCAACACGGCGTGCATTGTTCTCTGTTTTAAGACTCCAACTGTGTGACAGCAGTGTGACTGTTTGTGTGCATATGTGTTTACGCCGACCTTAGAAATGCTTATCGCATGCTTTTATGCTTTAAAGTTGTTGGGTATAACCGACTGAGTGCAGAATAGCCACCACGTGGAAGTCCCCTTCATTAACGAATACACGTGCGAAGACTTGGAGTCGTGGTCCTCCGTTTGCCGGAAACAGAAAACCTGCTCACTGACTTTCGGTGGATGGCGCAAGCAGTTCCTGCCACCGGGCCCATCGAACGACACCCAATCGAAGGCGTGTCGTGCCACAGAGGCTGATGCAGTGCGCGTGCTGAACTTTTGTATCCCTTTCCTTTAGGTGGCTCAGGCAGCACAATCTGAAGCGACGATGGGGTTGGGGATAGATGGGTGGCTGCGTTATAGTTTCAGTTGAATGCAGCCGGCTAGGGCTATATCTATATATAGAATATATATCTATATATCTATATATCTATATCTATATCTATATCTATATCTATATCTATATCTACATCTATATCTATACCTCGCACCAAGGCCGGGACCAAAGACCAACACCTCTCTGTCATTACTGTCAAACTGCAACTGCCAGGGCGGTGAAATTGGATAGGCATGATCGTTGCATACATGACAATCGATGAGCGGCTGTTCCGTGACCGGCAAGCGTTTGACCTTTCGGTGACTTTTAACCTTTGGCGTACGTGGCACTCCCGCTGAGTGAGAAGCTACATTCCCCATCCTGGCGAATATCTTCCACGGCACCCAGGGGCCCACTCACATATCAAGATTACCATGATCAGGGCCAGGATGTCATTTTGTACAACGTTTATCATCATCATTGTTGGGATAGTTACTCGGGCTGTCGTCCTCGTCTGGTGTGTTAGCACGTACACAACATTCCGGCTGGCTGACTCTTCGTCCGCCGTCAGGTGACCCGCGCATAGCTGAGAAGAACTATTCATCAAAGTCCCTCATGGAAATCAAAATACCTCGAACACCATTCAGTCTTTGTCAGGGCTCAAAATTTCCCGGCGACAGTCGGGGAATTACCTGGCCGCAATGTTGTTACCATACTAACACGTCGGACAGAGACAATAGTCTAACCAATGATCTCATCCGTGAGACTGATACCCCGTCTTAGTCCTTCTGTAGAACTGTTTGTCCTCATGCGAGGCTTGACTGCGCTCACCTGACACCAGTATTCACATTTAACACCTAACACCTGATACTTGACCTCACCTAACGCCAGTGTTCGGTTCGGCTGCACCTGTCCGGCGCTCTCGGGACACCGGCCTCTTCCACGAGTTTTTTGTGCCGGATGTTCACTGTTTAAGCATATTATTGCTTTGTGCGGACGTCTACCCATTACCTGCAAGCATTCTTCAGAGTTCTTCGAGCAATGACAACTTTGTCAGCCAAGGAAATCGTTCCAGTCCGGTTTGTTTTGTTTCATCAGCACCCGTGAAGCGTGCCTTTTTTTGCCGCTGTGTCTGAGCGTTTAAGGTGCGTGCGAAATTATGCGTAAGCTTAAACACATGTACTTTTTTTGGTGCATCGTGTCTTCAAAAAAGTGCTTTTGCACTTGGGCCTTTGCCGATGGACCACAAACACCTAAATAACAAAACGACAACAAGATGTAACATAGATGGCGCAAACACCACTAAATTACATTTGGTCCTGACCCCAGTAGCTTTTGAGCAGAATGAGCTAATCCTGTGTTTTGTAATCATGAAATGTGGGTCAAAACTATCATGTTTCCTCCACATTTTCCGGCTGCCCAGGAGTGCTCTCGAATATGTTGGAGCAATTTGCTTAACGCCTTGCTAAAATGATCGTAACAGGCCATCTCGGATTCCGAAAAGAACTCTTTCAAGCAAGCAGGCATCTAAAGCTAGTCCTCAGAGATAAATGTGAAATCCTGCTGATTTGGATCGAATTCTTGCATCATTCTTCAATACCTGATCTGAGCCACTCGGAGGGGTATGATCCCCCCCCCCCCGCCTTTCGAATACGTGCCTATGAGCTCATTTTTGGCTAGAAAAGGTCAGTTCAAGAAAGGAAAGCACCCAGCGAATCTCAGGCATGGAACGACCACTTCTGGGGATCACTTCTTGACACTAATGGGTACGTCAACAGTTTGGCAAAGCATATCCCCGATCGAAAAGCCAATCGTTAAGTCATAATGATATGTCTCATATTTTAAAGCGTCTCTTAGTTCCCAGTAAGGATGATGAAAGGCTGTATCAGTCTACTGGCATATTATTACCATTCAAGTATTAATTTATCCTGGGAGGAGTACAGCGACGTAGAGAAAATCAGCCATGATCTCGTACTTGATTAACTATTGGAAATATCACCAAATGTTTAAACAAGGTACAATTTTTCGTCTTCCCATCCCTTGCACAACAGGAATAAAAAACTACATTT